ATAGAGCCGTGACCTGCTCTTGGCTGAGTAAAAGGATAGGATGACGTATGGTTGTGGTTTGGGACGAAGTGTGTGCCAGCGGCTTGTGGTTATTTTCTCTCTCTCTCTCTCTGGCTTTATCATTCTGTAACTTGTGTACAATTTTGGTTTCCTTTAAACATGATTATTAAAATTATTATTATTATGGTCATTTATACACTGGAGCGTGTGCAGTACGTGTATACTGAAACATTGATGGGTATCGGTGCAAATAACTGTCCAAGGCGATAAGGATGTGTCGATATTTGGAAATTGGCAGAAGCGACGCATCGGTTCTTCGGAGACAGTTAAAGCGTTGTCGATGGCGGTCTAGGCATCACAGATACATCATCGCCGATACTTTTTGGTGAGAAAATATCCCAAATTGATATGTAAGTACTTGATGTTTGAGCAGAAAGAGAAAGAGAAAGACAAGAGGAAGAGAAAGAGAGTGAGAGAGGGAGAGAAAAAGGAAGAGGCGCACTCCAAGTCACTTGCACGCGAATCCTCTGGCGGCGGCGCGACTGATCGTCATTTGTCTTGTCTCTCGGGAATCCTCTCTGATCCCTTCATCCTCGGAGCGAACACTGTCCTTCACAGACACTGTCGGATCGAGTGCAATTCTGGAATTTATTCTTGTCTTTTGGGAGACTTCGATCCTAAAACAACCATTTGTACGAATATATATATATATATATATATATATATATATATATATATATATATATATATATATATATATATATATACATATATATATGAATGCGAATGAATACCATCACAATACAAGATATGCATTTGACCGGTTTCTCTCGTCAGAAATACATGAAGATGTATTCGAAATCGGTCAAATGAAAGGATAAAAAATATTAGATTAGGTTAGGTTAGGTTAGGTTAGGTTAGGTTAGGTTAGGTTAGGTTAGGTTAGGTTAGGTTAGGTTAGGTTAGGTTAGGTTAGGTTAGGTTAGGTTAGGTTAGGTTAGGTTATTAGGTTAGTTAGGCTTAGGTTAGGTTAGGTTAGGTTAGGTTAGGTTAGGTTAGGTTAGGTTAGGTTTAGGTTAGGTTACGTGAGGTTAGGTTAGGTTAGCGTTTAGGTTAGGTTAGGTTAGTTAGGTTAGGTTAGGTTAGGTTAGGTTAGGTTAGGTTAGGTAGGTTAGGTTAGGTTAGGTTAGGTTAGGTTAGGTTAGGTTAGGTTAGGTTAGGTTACGTAGGTTAGGTTAGGTTAGGTTAGGTTAGGTTAGGTTAGCTTAGCTTAGCTTAGGTTAGGTTTAGGTTAGGTTAGGTTAGGTTTAGGTTAGGTTAGGTTAGGTTAGGTTAGGTAGGTTAGGTTAGGTTTAGTTAGGTTAGGTTAGGAGGTTAGGTTAGGTTAGGTTGGTTAGGTTAGGTTAGGTTAGGTTAGGTTAGGTTAGGTTAGGTTAGGTTAGTTAGGTTAGGTTAGGCTTAGGTTAGGTTAGGAGGTTTTAGGTTAGGTTAGGTTTAAGGTTAGGTTAGGTTAGGTTAGGTTAGGTTAGGTTAGTAGGTTAGGTTAGTTAGGTTAGGTTTAGGTTAGTTAGTTAGCTTAGTTAGGTAGGTTAGGTTAGGTTAGGTTGTTAGGTTAGGTTAGGTTAGGTTAGGTTAGGTTAGGTTACGTTTTAGGTTAGGTTAGGTTAGGTTAGGTTAGGTTAGGTTAGGTTAGTTAGGTTAGTTAGGTTAGAAGGTTTAGGTTAGGTTAGGTTAGGTTAGGTTAGGTTAGGTTAGGTTAGGTTAGTTAGGTTAGTTAGGTTAGGTTAGGTTAGGTTAGGTTAGGTTAGTTAGGTTAGGTTAGGTTAGGTTAGGTTAGGTTTGGTTGAGTTAGGATAGGGTAGATTAGATTAGGTTAAGTTAGGGTAGGGTAGACTAGATTAGGTTAGGTTAGGGTAGGGTAGACTAGATTAGGTTAGGTTTAGGCTAGATTAGATTAGATTAGGTTGGGGTTAGGTTAGGTTTAGGTTAGGCTAGGTTAGGTTAGGTTAGGTTAGGTTAGGTTAGAGTTAGTTAGGTTAGGTTATGTTAGGTGGTTAGTTTAGGTTAGGTTAGGTTAGGTTAGGTTAGGTTAGGTTAGGTTAGGTTAGGTTAGGTTAGGTTAGGTTAGGTTAGGTTAGGTTAGGATTATATAGGTTAGGTAGGTATAGGTTGATTAGGTTAGGTTTAGGTTAGGTTAGGTTGTTAGGGTTAGGTTAGGTTAGGTTACGTGAGGTTAGGTTAGGTTAGGTTAGGTTGGTTAGGTTAGGTTAGCTTAGGTGTAGGTTGGTTAGGTTAGGTTAGGTTAAGGTAGGTTAGGTAGGTAGGTTAGGTTAGTTCGTGAGGTAGGTTAGGTTAGGTTAGGTTAGGTTAGGTTAGGTTAGGTTAGGTTAGGTTAGGTTAGGTAGATTTAGGTTTAGGTTAGGTTTAGGTTAGGTTAGGTTAGGTAGGTTAGGTTTAGGTTATGTTAGGTTAGATTAGGTTAGGTTATGTTAGGTTTAGG